CGAATGACCATGAAGAGATGCTGTTTCTGTACTGATACATGTATCTGGTTCCATTTATCTTAGGATTAAGGTGAGCTTCAGAAAGCTATCATTTATTAAAGTTTAAAATAAAAGGAATATCGTTACCAAACTATTTGTTATTCCAAAGACATTTTCTATGTCAGAATTTCTCATCCAAACCTATTTTCTAAGCATGACATTCCTCCATGATTAATATCACAGGCTTACAGCTCAGCCCCCAAACATTCTTGGCTATTTTGATAACATGAAACCTGGCAATCACTCACTGTGATTTGCACATGGTTGCAGTTGGAGATTTTTCAAAAATTACAATAACATTTCTTTGAGGGGAAATTTGTTTTAAGAACTGGGTTGAAGAAAAAATTAAAAATAGAAACAAATAGTTTGTACAACTAGAATAGTACATCTATTCTCTAAAACGCATGTTAGTCCGTCAAGGCAACTCATTGGTTCTCTGTCACGGTCACTTTATAAGGCAGATAATTTATGGACAGCCATGCCGGTCCACGAGGTTAAGTATGAGACTCAAATGCCCAGGAACAGACATGTGCTATTTTTAAAATGAAGTGACTATAACTTCACTTGCTATTTCCAAACCTATTGGGTTATTTTACTTAGCGCCCTTCCCTCCTTCTTCACTGGCAATGTTTGTCAATATATAAAAAGCACTTAAGATGCAACAGAAGTAAATTCTTCCATGTCCACAAATTTGAAAAATTTTAGTTTACAAAACTCCTTTCTTTGCAGGGGGAGATTTGACACTGCACTCAAGTAGGTGTGGGATTTGACTGCCACCACAGCCAAAACCAAGGCAAGAAGAGTCCGTTTTAAGATCCCGCTGCACAGGCTGTGTCTGATGGCCTGTGCCGTGCTAGGTGGTCCCAGTCTTGCCACCCCACACAGAAGCGTCAACAGACCCTTTTCTCTGCCACTCTCAGGAGCTGCCCCCAGAAGTCTGGTCCACGAAGGAGCATTGTAGCAGCCCGGGGCCATTTGTCAGAGAGGGCTCTGACCTTTAGGCCACTGTGTCAGCAGCTATTTGAGGGACTGGAAGTTATGAGATTGCGCGATTTCATTGAGGCCAAATATTTTCTGCATAATGCGCTGAAAAGCACACTTGATGTTAGTGGTTCCTAGGGTTCTTTAAGAAGATCTAGTTCTCCAGCGAAACCCTCACCTCTCTGGGAGTGAAAAGCCAGCGCAGTCTCCCTTATAATAAGTGTGGTGGATACGTCTCACATTTGTGTGATTAGCATCCCTTCCTTTGTGGGAACTCTTGGGGACGATCATGTGAAAAGCAACGAGCCTCTTACCCCTATGCTGGGATGGGAGCAGGGACAGCAGCCTGTGATCAGCAGTGGTGAAACAGACAATCAAGTTGTCACCCGTGGCCACCTGGGATCAACGCGCTGATTAAGGAAGAAGCAATGGAAGAATGGGTGGGAGGGCTGGGGGAGAAACAGACATCATCTAGTGGCTTGGATTTGGGGAAGAGTGGCTCTCTTCTCTCTAGTTGCAGTAGCTGAATGAGATGATCGGTCATCTTCCATTGTACAGACAGTGGGTCTCCATTTGGAAACTGTATTTCTGGAAATATGAAAGTGTGGATGGCTGGGGCAGCCACGAAGGGGAGGAGGGCCACACTGAACTCTTGCCTTCTATGGGTCTGGTGTCCTTCCTTGAGCTGCCAGCCTGTGTGTCATCATTTCACGGGCACTTCTCACACAACCCAGCCCTGACAGCAATGGTGAGCTTATGGCAGAATCTTCTTCCCTAGACCCCGAATCTTGACCACAAGCACACAGGATCGCAATGGTGGCTGCAGTTGAGGCCTTCAACAGGATGTTTAAAGAGGCTGACCATGAACTGCTGCTGCTGCTGAGATCTCTGGAGCCAGAGCAGCCCTGGGTCCTTTAGGTCCTCAAGGCCATGAGCTCGGCTTTTCTGTCTGATTCACTAAGTGACCCAAAATCCTTCCAAAGAACCCTGCTGATTCCACCCTCTGCTGAAAAAACACACAATATAACACAAGACATTTATTTATCGATGACCCTGCAGGCACCAGGCGCTGTGCCAAATCCTTTCAGATATATGAAATTTCAATTACTTGGTATGATTCTGTAAAGGAATGATGGCATTTGGGGGCTGTAGCAGATACTGTCACAGCCTTGCCCGCACCTGGCACACATATCTGAGTGCCCCGGCTGCTGGTCTCTGCATCTGTGCCTGAGCTATTGGTGTAAAAATACCCCAGAACTCTCTGCCCCTGGACCGGATAGTTTTGAAGTGTGTGTTTTGCCTCGTTTCCCAGCGTTTGCCCACAGGTTTAAGCTTCCATCGCCTACTGCAGTCAATGGCTTCACCTTCTCCCTGGATCCCGCCCCTCTTCCTGGCTGTGTTGCTCATGTTTCACAAACAAAAAACCTTCATTCAAATTCTTGTCTTTATGTCTGCCTCTTGGAGAAACCAGACTACGTAAGACTGGGGTTGCTGGGATGCTTGGAAGATGTAGCTCAGCACTGGCCGAGTGTTAATCCCTCTGCAGAGGACAGTGCTGAGAGACAGAGGGGGCAGGGAACTTACCCAAGGTCCCCTGGCTAGTGGACACCTAGGGTGGCAGTTAGAATTCATCTCGCATCACGACTCTGATCCATTGCCTGGCCCAGGGTTGTCCCACCTCTGCACGGTTGACGTTTTGAGCTGGTAGTTCTCGATCGTGGGGGGCCGTCCGTGCACGGTAGGATGGTTAGCAGCATCCTTGGCCTCTATGCACTAGATGCCAGCAACATCCCCTATTGTGACAACCAAAAATGCCTCCCCTCAAAATTGCCAAATGTCCCCTGGGGGGAGGGGAGGACTCCCCCAGGAAAACCACAGCCCGAGAGAGCCCGGTTCCCTCAGAAGCAGCACCGTGGCCTACGCTGACGGACAGGGCAAGAGTGACAGCACACGCGTGGCCTATTTATTGACCCTTATAAGCCTTTGATCCAGTCTTGCGCCTCCTGACCGCAGATCTGGCCCACTTTCCATTATGCGAGGCTTCCTGAGATCAATTGTTCCATTGCTCTACTTGTTAGAAAGTTCTTTCCTATTGAGCCCAAATCTGCGTCCCGGGAACTGACTTCATCAGCCTGCCTTCCAGGGCCGCGCAGGGGCCTAATCCTTCTTCAGAGGCTGGCACTTCAACTATTTGAAAACAACTCCTGTGTCCCTGCCTCGTCCCCTCCCCACCAGGCCCTCCCTGGACCTCTTAGACCTTCCGGTGACTGCTCAGCCCCTCGGGGGGTCACGCTCAACAGCACGGCAGCAGCTGTAACACCTACCGTGTGCCAGGCACATAGTAGGTGTTAACACTACAGTGTGAAAGAGCAGTTGCCGGGCAAGGAATGCAAACTTCTAGGTTCCTACTCACATGTTTGAACAAGAATTTCCAGAGGCCTAGAGTTTATGTGCTCTGAAGCTTCCAGATAATTCTGATGTAGCCCACCTACAGTCCTGCATTTAAGCACTTCTGATCTAACTTATTCTGACTCCAGGCAATAGAGTTCTCATTTATTTCTTAAAGCGCCACTTTTCTTTCTTTTGAAGAAAACATTAAAAGGAAACTCTTAAAATGATAGGATACTAGGTCAAAGAGGTACATGTTTCTCAGTAAAATATTATTTTTAAAGTTTATACCAAAAAAGCCTAGCAGTTGACACACACACACAAAAATGCTAACTAGGTTTATTTCTCTAGATGGTGGAATTCAATGAGATTTAAAATTTTTCCTTTGTTCTCTTCATTTTAAAGTTTGTGGAATGAATATAGTGTATATGTGTGTGTGTGTATATAAATATACATGCAAATATTCATATATATTGCGATCAGGTTTTAATTATTTATAAACCTGTAACAATGACTACCTTTTTACTACTTCTTATAGGGACGATGGCACCTGGTGGAAATATATGACAGAGAAGCAGAATGCAGTCATAGAACTGGACTAGGACATTTTAAGACTAGGAAAAGCTCTAGATCATCTCCCTTCATGTAGGGATGCAGGAAAGAAGATTTAATAGTTATGGGACCATAGCACATCCAGATAAAGATCCCGGGTAAAAAGAAACTGACATAAAGAACAAAAAAATGGTGACGGCAGAGAAGCAAGTACCAAGGGTGGATAAAAACAAAAAAATAGGCCCTTATATCTACTCAAGCCAAATTACCATTCATCCAACTCACTGGTTAAATAATCATAAATGATTATTTCCCATTTGCCTAAGGCTTTACTTGACATGACCTAAAGCTTCATAAATGTTTCCAAGCTTCATAAATGAGCACACAATTTTTCTTCTTCCCTTTCTACTGTCTCTTATTTCAATTAAATAAATATTACAATGGCTTACTTTTTTTTCTTGGAAGAGTTTCTCTGATTTCCTGGTCTTGCTGCTCCTCCTAAACACCCTGTATGCGACTTTAAGCCTTTGACTCACCTCCCTTCGTATGGATAGGTGGTCTCCTTTCTTCCCCCTAAAAGTGCACCCTCTCGGTAGATTCTGGTGTTATTTCTGGCTGCCAGGATCAGGGTCCTGGGCAGATGCCGCGGCAGGCACGTCCTCCCTGTGGCCACCAGAGTTTGGCGAATGAACGCAGAGTTTGTGCGTCTGTACAAAACCCCAACTCCCCACCCCCACTTCTTTTTAAAGTGAACTGAAGTCTGCATTTCAAACCAGCCACAGCAACTAGATACCACGGGGGACAGCCTCTGTTCTGCTGGAATGATATTTCTGGATCTTTCGAGGGCCATTCCATTTCACATTGCCAGGACTGTGTGTGTGTGTGTGTGTGTGTGTGTGTGTGTGAGAGAGAGAGAGAGAGAGAGAGAGAGAGAGAGAATTCTACTTTGCTAGCAAAGTAACGTGTCTATGAGTACTGGTGGGTAATGCTACCCTAAATAACTTGGGCTTCCACTGGCTGGCTTTTGTTCCTAAAATGCTAATCCTTTCAGGTGTAGACCTATATAAAACATTGGGGATTATAGGTGCACAGAAACCTCAAATCTTTCCTGCTGCATAAGGTAAAGATACTATTAAACTAACAGTTCAAAAGTATTTTGAGGCTACTAACAAGGAGTTTAAAAGATTTTCCAAAGTCCTTATTAAATACTAACACGTGATGGAGATGAACTAATAACGCTGAATTCATAACAGGCACTAGGTAGACTACTGTAGTTATTTTCTAGATTGCTTTTCATGCACAGCTGTCTTTGGGAAAAAATTAATTTCTCGTATCAACTAAAATGCTGGGGAGGGAGTCACCTCGTTTCACAAGGAAAAGCATCACCTGGTATTTGAAGAAAAATAGTTCTCCTTTTCTTGCATGCAAAATGCAGAAGTGTCTTAATGTGATTTAATGTGCAGTGTCCCATGGGGATGGGTTGGAATTCTACACACGGTGTCACACTGTGCTTCGACGCCGTAGCTTTGGGGACATTAGCCACAGTGGCTATTGTATGCGTGAGGGGCTTTGCACAGATCACCTCTCTTCCTTCCCACAACCACCATAGGCAGTGGGTGTCACTATCTACGTTACCTACATGGATTGTACAAGGCGGAGCTAAGATTTAAACTCAGGTTCCTGACTACGCTGCTGAGACGTCTACACTGAGGACACGTATGGACTTTCAGCATCCACTCTGCTCTTTCCTAGGGGGAACAATTAACTTCTTGGAGTCGTGGAAAAGCTGAAGGGAAGGAGCAAGTAAGTATTTGTAAGAGGAAAAAAACAAAATCTCCTGTGAACCACAGACTGGTAGAGCATTCTTGGCTGGTTTGGTGAGTTGGAAAATTGGGGTAAATACGTGATTCTAGAGCCAATGGAAATGCCACGTTACTTCCATGACAGTCTCATTTCTTTGAAATCTGTGGCATAAAGATGTGAAGGGACACACAGCCTCTCCAGGGGTGTGCTGGCATTTCAGACACCCCAGGGGCTGCTCTTTCTGGTGCTTTCTTTGTTCATGGAGAGTGATCCTGAGCAGAATGGCTGGATTTAGTGCTGGGTGTAGGTGAGCCGGTTAGTAACGCACTGTTGCTGGTGTGGCCAGTCGCCATGCTTGGTTGGCTGAAACAACGTGATGGGGCAATGGGTGTGTGGAGTAAACCCAGGGTGGTAAACACAGAGGAGGAAAACCATTTACTTTTTTATATATATATATAAGACCAGAAAATGTCACTGTGACAGGATGGACTTACGATAAACTAAATAGTGTGAGTCATTTCAGGGCAAACGAGACAAGGAAAACCAAAGCAGAACCAAGGCAACTGAGGCTGCGTCCTGCCTGGTGGGGAAGGACAGAGACTCTGCAGCTGGGCGTCCCAGCTTTCAGTCTCGGCTCTGTCCCTAGCCAGCTGCACCTGGTCTTGGGCTGGTTTCTTTACCTCTCTGTGCCCGAATGTCTCTCATCTGCTCAGAGGGCTGTCGTGAGGATTCAGTGACTCCACTGAAAGCACTAGAGCCGTGCTCAGCACCCGTGGGACAAGCCCGCCCTCCGGCAGGGTCAGGCATTATCGTTTTGATGCTGCTCAACGATCCCAATAGCCAGGTCTCTCGTTCTGAACCGGGTGTAATTGTTGTCCTGCTTTAATAACCCCCGTTTTGCTCTTCTGTTTCTCGCTGCAGCCCTATGAGGTAGGCAGATATTATTACTCCCTTTCTGCTGATGAGGAAATGGGCGCTGAGGGGATCAAGTGAGTTGCCAAGCGTTAGAGAAGGAGCCAGATCAGGCTCCTGGCCCAGCCCCAGCGCTTTCTACTCTCGTGCAATAGAGGCTCAGATGAAAGGACAGCCTCGTGTTTGTGCCAAATCCCAGCTTCTCACCCATGATGTCATGAACCCCATAATCCACATGTATCCCCCAGGGGTATGCAATCTGGGCAGATTTTTGTTTTTAAGATTCAGTTCCAAAGGCTATGAGAAATACATTTGAGACTCCCAGAACTCAGTGATGTGCTACAATACTTGGGAAGTGGGGGTGGCGGGGATGGCAAAGAATAAATTTGCAAAATAGCAAAAACTTGCCATAGCCTCCTGAGCAACATGGTGCCTGTTCTCAGGCTACAACTGCTATTTCTGCATTTCTTCATGCACATGGGTTTGGGAACGGGTAATGGTCACCCTGGACCTTGTTCTGTAAAACCGGGATGGCACCTCCTTGGGCGGCTGCTTTGCTCACCCAGGGAATGAAGCTGAAAAGCAGGCGTTCTTTTGGCTTGGATAAGCTACACCTTTGGAACCCTCCAGGAATGTCAGACTTGACTTGGGCTGAGTGACTCCAGTCTTGTCCAGTTCTTTCCTCCCAGCAGGCTCCGGTTATGGACGTGTGTCTGAGCTCCGTGCAGCAGTCCGGGCGCTTGGGGGGAGAACTGAGCTCCCCAGCTGGCTGGTTGGAGACCAAGAAGGAGGGGGCTCCCCAGAAAGATGGCACCGGGGGACCCCCAGGAGGTAACCCCTTTCTCATCACCTCAACGGTTTTCCTCAGTTGCTTTCCTGGTGATGACATTTTCATGTAAACTTCAGTGACAGGAATTTCCATTTTCTTTTTTACTCTAGATTTTTACTATAATGAAGCTTATTAGAAAAATGCCTTTATGTGATGATAAACATAGCATTAAAAGTAATCTCTGTTTTTTCATTATTTACTTATCAAAGTCCACAAATTTGTCTTATCTTATGTATAAATCTAAAATAGCTGTATTTTTGTAACAAGTACTCTTTTAAAAGTCTAGATTCATTTCTGCTTTTCACCAAAATGCATTCCCGGCAGCTTCGTCATATAGTGGATCCTTTTAAATCAAAGCGTGTTTTCCCATTAGGATAATTTAGCAGTTTAGGGTTGCATTTCTGGGCATGGATTCAGTAGTAAATAAATAACAGACATTAACAAATGAAGTGATATAAGCCAAGATACAGCATTTAAAATATCTACAGTCACTTAAAGTGGTAAGAATACATCTCGATTCTACTAAATGAGGATGTTATTTTATTGAATCGTTTACGTAAAAACGCAACTCTCCTTTATTTCTAAAATCTGATCTCTCTAAAATCTGTTCTTTCTAAAACTGTCGCCCAGCACAGATAGCATAAATGAAAATATTTAAAGCACAATACATTTCGAAGAGTCTGTGAGAGAACATTCATATGTCCACACTTCTTCACAATATCGATTGGGGAAGTATAAACTGTCAGTTTATTTACCTGGGAAATGATGAGCCATTGAAATCAGTCCACCAACTTTTCCTACGGTCTTGGGATAAAATAAGTCCCCAGGCAGTGACATGTGGCAGCATGGGCAGAAGGCACAGTCCAGGCGATGGCGGGGTAGGAAGGGGTGCGGGCCCGGCTGGCACGTCCCCGACACTCTGAGTCACCAGTCTGGTGGTATGCTGCGGGTGGCATGTACCAGTGCCTGAATTTCGAATGTTAAGCACGGCCATTATTAAAATGTAAGTCATATAATCTTATGATTAAATAGGTTCCATTAAAGACAAAGGTATATTAAAAAGCTAAGGTAGTAAGTACTCAAAACTGATTATTTTACACTTTACCACTATCTATGCTCTTGAGATGATTTTGGTCTGTCGTGTCCATGTGCTACTGCACGTCTGCTCCCAGGGAAGCCATGCTGGCAGGAGTATTTGCACCAGGGCAATTGTCAACCCTATGAATCAGCGTCCTTCCCCGATCCTCACCCCGCCAAACTGGTTGCTGAACATTCGTCAGCACACCACTGTCTACTCTTCTGCCTCTTTAAGTCTCCCAACCAGAATTCCAAGTCAGCCTCTCAGCTCTGAGGTAGAAGCTAGGGCTTCTTGGGGCACACGTAATACTGGGTTCCTTGCGCTAGATGCCAGGGGCCTCCCGTCATAAGAGGCAGGCGAAGGCTATCTGTCTCCCTCCCTCCCTTCCCAGGGCAGGTAACGGTAAAGGGCAATCTCAGGACTGAATTGGCCACTATTTACTGACAGGTTCTTGTGAGTTCCGTGAAGTCTCAGGTCTGTGGAAGATCACCCCATTTTGGTCAGGGCAGAGAATTCACCTGTAAGTGGTGAACACACTACATCAGAACCGTGGCAAAAAACAAAAACAAAAGAAAACACCTGAAGCGCTAAGGCTGTCCATCATGCCAACTTACAAACGAGTCGCTTCCCTCACACTGTGGGCAAGGACCATTTCTCAGGGTGCTGCACACTGATATTTTCGTCACACACAACAAAAATGAATTTCTAGAAAAACAAAATGAAAGTATACGGACGTAAAATATGAGCCCCATTTTTGGGTAATGAGATTCAACTGACATTGTTAAACGATTGTAAATATTTCTAAACGCTTACTCCAGATTTGTGTACTTACTGCGAACCTGTCACGCAGGGTCTGCAGACCGGCAGCACAGACCTGCTCTACTGTGTATTGGAATTAGCGACACTTGCAATAGCTGGCAGGGCCTGCCCCTGCCGCTGCCCCTGCGGACCCACTGCTGAGTGCATTTCTTCCAAGGCCCACTTCCCTTTGCCTGTATTCACTTTCCCCTCCCACGCCCCTCCTCTTGCACCCTGAGAGCATTTTTCTGGGTAGAGCACTTCGAATGTTGACTTGCTCCTTCTAGCTTTTCCCCAGAGCCTGTATTCTAGCCCTAGTTAAACATTTTCCAGTCAGATCCCAGGCAACAAGGGCAGATTTCATGCAAATAAAACCGACCTTCCCAGACTCTGCAGTGTTAATTCTTTCCCACTGCGGGTGCCAACATCTTTTCCTCTGCTCCTTACGGCCACTAAGTATGTGTTCAGGCAGCACCCTCCTTCCTAACACCCTTACTCACCACTTCTTTTATCCTTTAAACACTCTGGAAAGCCTGCAACGATTTGTGATTCCATGATGTCAGCCCGATCAGGTGTTCTTTACCTCTCATTTTATATGATATTTTAGAGCTGCTAGCGTGGGCCATGGGTTTAGAGGAGTATTTAAAGCTGTAGTAACTTAATAGCCAGAGCTCATTTGACAGCACCCCCTCCCCTCCCCGCAGGGCTGCAGGGCTGCAGAGCTGGCTGGGCTTTGGGTGGCCTGGACCTTTTGAGGAGCAGTTGTAGGAAGGATTTAAGAAACATGCTCCAGCCAACACGTGGGAATGTTACATCACTTCAAGACCTAAAAATAGCCAGGTCCGTGTTTACCCAGTTCCTCCTTACCCAGATAGCTCATTTGTGCCAGTGAGCTGGTAAGGTAGCTTCTCCCCACCAGCAAAACATAAGGTGGGCTTGGATCCGCTCCTCTTCTGTCCTCTCCTAAATCAAGGAAAGACCCAGAACATAGTTGGGCATTTTGTTGTATTATTAAAAGGTCACATCTGAATTCCATGTCCACATCATCCCATATAATTCAGTTTTGTGCTAGTTTGCAGGCACTGGCATTGATAGAATGACAACGTTTGTGGAACACCCCACCCCCTTGTCACCCTTTGTACCAAGTGTGCATTTGCACTGGATGAACAAATCATGAAATCCGTTTTATTTTTCTGCTTCACAGATTCTAACAAGATAGAACCAACTCTTCATAGCCTCCAGAAATTTGTTCCTACAGATTACGCCAGCTACACTCAGGAGTATTATCAGTTTGCTGGCAAGAAGATAGTCATTCAAGAATCCATAGAGAGTTATGGAGCAGTGGTGTGGCCAGGGGTGAGAACTGTTACATTCGTGATGTCAGGATTTCTGGAAATAATTTCATACATCTGTGCTGCCTTGAATAATTTGTCAAGTGCTTGAACATTGTGTGCCTCTCAAATTGAAGTTCAATTGCCTCACCCCCTGAGGGGTGTTGGTGGTGTTTTTGGGATCAGCAAAAGATAGTATTTGTTCCAGAAGCACTGGTTTTGCTTTAAGCTATGTTTCTTGAAAAACTGTTTTTATATTAAATAAACTCGAATATATCAGGAAGTGGATGCAAAATTCATATGAATTATCAAGCAATGACTCCAGGTAAACTAGAGTTTAGTTGCAGTAGGCACCTTTGGGCCACACCCACTGACATTGGGCCATTGATATTTTTTACAGGGTTAGTAAAAATGCTTAGGAAGCATTACTTCATCTCATTATACCCCTGCAATACTCCCAAAAGAATGGCAGTGAAATGGGGGAAATATTCTGGGTTTAGAGCCAGAAACCCTACCATTTCCATGTGGTGTGGTCAGCAATGTTCACTTCGCTTCCATTTGCCTTCACTTCCATATTTAAAACGTGGGGCGGTGGTGACGTCTAGTCCCTGCCATGCTGGACGGAAGTGTGAGAATTAAATTCAGGTTGTGAGAACTAGATGAAGTGCTACGTGTTAGCTCGTATTAGCTATAGTTATTAATGTGATATTATTTCCACCTTATAGCTGAGGAAATGGGGGCTGGGAAAGGTTCACTGGTTTGGGAAGCCACTCGGCTGGCACCTGTGCTCGTTCCACTGCACAAGCTGTCATGCGTAGCAAGGCTCCAGATCAGAATTCCTCGTGTGTGAATCATCATACTGAGATCCTGGTAAAAAGCAGATTTTGACTCAGGAGATCTGAGGGTGGAGGATGGCTGTGACCACATTTCTTGCAAGCTCCCAGGTGATCTGCTGGCCCAGGGACCCGTGTCGAGCAGTCACACTCAGAGGGTCCATGGGGCTCCCGCAGGAGGTCTAGGGGGTGGTGGCAAGTGAGGGGGAGGGGAAGCCAGAGGACTCAAGGCTTGTAGGGCTCCCCACTTCCAAACAAGGAGGCTGTATCCTTACACCTTATGCATGGAAGTATGATTTCCTTCAAACAAAGGCTTTTCTTTGCCTTAACACAAGTTTGAAAGCCACCAAACTACTCCACAGATTCCTATTATAATACTGTTGGCAAATAAACTATGGCAGTCGTATAGCTATATAGCAGTAGAGTAAGAGACTAGAAATGGGAAAAAGAGTATTCGTCCACTTGACTGTTTCATTCTCAACAAGGCGTCAGCCTTTCACGCCCCCAACACTGGCCTCTCTTGAAACCTGTTTCCTAAAAGCTGCAGAAGGGTACACAAAGTGGGAAGACACCCTTTTCTTGTGTGACTTCAAGTGCAACTCTGTGAAAATATCACTTCAGAGTTCTCTAACAGGACTAAGAGGTAGATCTGGCAATGTCATCAGACATGGCTGTTCCTGGGGAAGCTTTGTCTCTATGACACACCCCTGGAGCCAGCCCCTCCAGGACAGGGCTTGGAAGGGGGGATGCCTACAGCCGTCTCCAGGAAGTCCCTCAACACTTGCCCACTGAACACCTGTCCTCTGGATCACTCTAGGTGACCCTCTCTCCCTAATATGGAATACCCCTTTACAGTGAATACTTACCATCTCTCCTGAAGGACTCCTTTCTTCAAAACTTTCTTCCAGTTCTGGAGCTCCTTGCAATGCGCTGTGGATGGTACAATTTCACACCTTGCTTCCGGTTCACCTGCCGTCTGGTCTGCAGTGCCTCTCGTGCTAGGATGCCGGCTCACTCCTCCCAGGGCCCAGCAAGTTGGTCTGACTCCTCAGTGGCTCCATTGCCCCTCCCCGTCCCCTCCCCCAACCAGTCAGTGTATGCCTCCTTTATGCCACTAACCTCCCAGGAACACAATTCATAACTGGTTTACGTGCCCACCAGCCCTGCCACTGAGTTCCTGGACAGGAGTGATTGTCACATTCACCTTTGCACGCGCCTGTTCAATATGAACAGATGAGGGTGGAATGGAGTGACTTATGGGGTCAGGTCCTGCCCATCCCCCACTCCAACATGGGCCCAAAACAGAAAGCGGAGCCTGGAGGAAGATATATGAGGGTATATCTTTAGCTAGGGCCTAAGTGTAAAGGCAAATTATAGAGCTCGTTAAAAATCCAAAAAACAAAAAACCCTCAATGTTCACATTACCAACTCTAGGCTATTTATACTCAAGTTTAAGTCACTTTCTCATACATAACTCTTCCTAACCGCTCCTCTATGGCGTGGCTAGCTGGGCCTCACTGGCATAAATGTAAACACCTCGTGGATCAGTGCAGACCGAATATACTTTACTCTTTGTAGGAAGGTTAGGGGAAGGTGGAGGCAGGACAGAATGGATAAAGAAGGAAAGGGACGTCTGATTTCCTGTATAGATTTATTCACACATAGAACATTTTAAAACAATGTCCTTGCCACTACTGCTCAAAGTGTGGTCCCTGGTCCAGCACACAGTGTCACTGGGGGTTTGTTTAGAAATGCAGGCTCTTAAGCCCCACCCCAGACCTACCAAATGAGGATGTGTGTCTTTAACAAAATAACTTTCTAGTTGTTCAATATAGGACAAACTCCTAACCAAACTGAATTTTGAAAGAGGAGTCAGGAGAAAGGGTCTAAGTTTATACAACATTCTTAAAGCAAGCTGGAGACCCAAAATGATTAAACCAGCAGAAGAAGTTGCTGTTTTTAGCCTGATTTGTAAGAGCTGAGCCGATCTGCTGATCTTCCTCTTCTTTGGAGATTGGTCAAATCTGATGTAGGCAATCTAACAAATCTGTTTCTCCAGTTCCTTAGATGCAATTTATTATAATTTTTATATTCCAGAGGTCTAAATACGGCATTGACAGTATATAAACATTCAATAAGCTCAATAATAAATAAGCTGAAAATATTTAATAACATGTATTTTAGTATTGAACTTGAGGTCATGCTGGTTTAGTATTTAACTTGAGGTCATGCTGGTTTCCAATGTCTCAATGCCCAGGTGAAGACTGTAATAAATGTTTTTTAGGCCACAGCTTTGTGTCACTATTTGGAAGAACATACAGATGAACTGAATCTCCAAGATGCTAAAATACTTGAAATTGGCGCTGGACCAGGCCTTGTTTCCATCGTGGCCAGTATTTTAGGTTTGTTTGTTTATTCTTTACCTTGTTTTAAAAGACCTTACCTGTGACATGATAGCAAGTGCTTCCTGTATAACAGGCCGTGGTGTAGGCACTTGGCCATGACCTCACTCAGTGAATCTCCCCAAAATGTCATGCAGCAGGGATTACTACTGTTATCCAGAGATAAGATAACTGAGTCTTAGAGAGGTTCATGAACTTCTCCAGTCCACCCAGTTTCCATGTAAAGGGGGTGAGCATCTAGAAGCCCGACCCTGCTGATGGTCACGACCTGGGTGGGGTGAGCAGGGGTGCTCCTGACATCTAGTGGGTGGAGACCAGGGAGGAGAGCTGCTAATCATCTCATAGCTCACAGGACTGGACCACCCACAAGAAAGAACTATCCAGTCCAAATTATGCCAAATATGTCCAGCCTACATGCCAACAGGGCTGGGGTTGAGACATCTAGTACTATTAAATATTTCTGGCTGGGCGAGGTGGCTCACGCCTGTAATCCTAGCACTCTGGGAGATGGAGGTGGGAGGATTGCTTGAGCTCAGGAGTTCGAGACCAGCATGAGCAAGAGCGAGACCCCATCTCTACTAAAAATAGAAAAAATTAGCCTGGAGTAGCGGCACATGCCTGTAGTCCCAGCTACTTGAGAGGCTGAGGCAAGAGGATTGCTTGAAACCAGGAGTCTGAGGTTGCTGTGAGCTAGGCTGATGCCACCACACTCTAGTCTGGACAACAGAATGAGATTGTCTCAATCAATCAATATTTCTTGTGTTTCTCCACGAGTATGTGCACGCTGTGGCTGCCCAAATGTTTCCATGTAATTATTACAATTTTTCTCTTTTTCTGTTAGGAGCTCAAGTCACAGCAACTGATCTGCCTGATGTCTTAGGAAACCTTCAATACAATCTTTTAAAAAACACACTGAAATGTACAACACATCTGCCTGAAGTGAAAGAACTGGTATGGGGGGAAGACCTGGAACAAAACTTCCCCAAGTCAACTTTTTATTATGATTATATTCTGGCCTCGGATGTGGTCTACCACCATTACTTCCTGGACAAGCTGCTCACCACCATGGTGTACTTTTCCCAGCCAGGGACTGTGCTCCTTTGGGCAAACAAGTTCAGATTCAGCACAGATTATGAATTTTTGGATAAATTCAATCAAGCTTTTGATACAACACTCTTGGCTGAATATCCAGAGTCATCTATCAAACTTTTTAAGGGGATACTAAAATGGGACTAAATCAAACAAAATGCCGTCCAAAATATTAGTGTGTCTTTTGAGCTGTTAGAAACTGCATTAGCAATTAATGACTTCTTTTATAAGACTGAGACAGTAGTGTATAAGAAATGCATTGTATACCTAGAACAAATGTAATTTAATAGTGCAGATATTTTCTAAAATAAGATTACCTGGTTAATCTAAATATATACAAGGGATAACATGAAAACACAAAAGTAGCTTTGTTGACATCCAAAAGTCTCAATTACGTTTAATAAATTTTACACAAATAAATTAATAAACAAGTGGATATCCTCCTTGTTATTTCTGTTGCAGAACATAGTTTTAAACTTGTTAATATAGTTTTGTCACATGATTTTTGAAACCGGGCTTGATAGGGTCACTATAGCTTACTTTGAAGAATCCACTTATATAGATTTTTAACTAGCAAAAGGAGAAGCTATTGAGTGACAGAAAATAGATAACAGGCTTCACACTGATTAAAAGTGATGAAACTGCTGGATGAAAAAAACACATGCTGTTCTAGGGACTTCTTAAGAGAATTTACTTTACAAATACTCGCCCTCTGTGTCAATCACCTGTGACAATTTCAAGTTAAATTTCTGCACTGTCTGCTTTTTTCACAATAAATACTTTCGGCTTTGCAGGCCACATACTGTTTTTGCAAAATATTCTTTGAGTTTTGTGTGTGTGTGTTTGCTTTTATAAAAAGATAAGGACCATTCTTAGCCCACAAAACCAGGCCTTGGGTTAGATTTGGCTTGCAGGTCACAGATTACCAACCCCTGGAACCCACATGTAATCTACACTATAATTACTGGAATTCAAAAGAGTTTAGCAAGGTTGCCAAATGTCAATATATAAAGCTCAATTTTATTTATAAATTCTAACTAAAAATAGTTAGAATATGAAATTTATATAGAGATACCACTTAACTATAGCAATATCAAATACTTAGGAATAAATGTAACAAAAGATGTGTAAAACTTCTACACAAATTTAAAGCAATATTGAGACACATTAAAGATAACCTAAGTAAATAGGGAGGTAGGCCAAGTTTGGGCAATGGAAGACACCGTAAAGATGTCAATTTTATCCAAATTGGTCAATAGCTTATGAGAAGTCATAGTCAAAAAATCCCAATATGAATTCTTGTGGAATTTGTCAACCTGCTTCTAAAATCATATGAAAATGAAAAGGCTAATACGAGTCAAGATTCTTGAAGAACCAGGTAGGTATACAAGAAGTAAAAAAAAAAAGTACTTAAAGATGTAGTAATTGAGATAGCAATTAGTATTAGTTGCTGATAATAATATATATTGGTCCTTTTTTTTAGTTTTTTGAGACAGAGTCTTGCTCTGTTACCAGGGCTAGAGTGCAGGGGCGTCACCCTAGCTTCAGCAACCTCAAACTCAGGGGATCTTCCTGCCTCACCTTCCTGAGTAGCTGGGACTACAAGCATGTGCCACCATGCCTAGCTAATTTTTCCTATTTTTAGTTGCCCAGGTAATTTTTTTTCTGTTTTTCGTAAAGATGGGGGTCTCACTCTTGTTCAGGCTGGTCTTGAACTCCTGAGCTCAAGCAAATTTCTGCCTCGGGTATTTCTTAATACATGTATATACATATTGGTATTTTTAAAAGTGAACTTTAAAGTTCCCTGCAAAAAATAATACGTATCTATAAGTTTAAGGGCCAAATGAACATTCTAGACATAATTACAAAGATTTAATTGCATCTATTTTCTCCTTTATTGTATTTTCTAAATAGTTTTCAATTCCTCTGGATGATTAAAATTTCTTCTCTTTTAAAACAAATAACAGTCTATTAATCAACTAACAGAAAGGCCTATGTGACAAAAACCTATTTCCAAGATTTTAAAACTAATATTTAAACAAAATAGAGGAAATTATGTGATCCCTACTCCCACCAGGAAAAAAAAAAGTTTGCTAAAGCAGTAGCCTTAATTTCCTTCTCTTAAGCAAAGGGAAGGAAAATAAACATGCCTTTTGCTATGTTCTCCCTTAGGATATACAACTTAGAAGAGCAGGCCCCCAAAGGTGGAAGGAAAGTTGTAGGGAAAGATAGGATGTCTTTTATATCCAGATACTCTGTGGCAAGCACAGGACGGTCACCTGGTGATTTCTGATTATTTGACCCAGTTTTATTTCCTGCTGCTTTTCTCTCATGTGGACAGGGGTGGGAAAGATAAGGGAATCTGGAAATCCTTGGTTTGTCAGTATGAAGCTCTGTAATCAAGCCAGTTGGTTTCAGCATAAAAACAGAGATATATAATAATGGAACAGAAGAGAGTACCGAAATGGACCCACATACATGTGGTCAATTGATTTTTGGCAAAGGTGCCAAGGTAATTCAATGGCAAAGTATAGTCTTTGAAACCAGTGGTGCTAGAACAATTATCCGTGTACACACAGAGAACTCTGAACTTCTCTCATACCATACACAAAAATTAAATTGAAATGGATCATGGACCTAAATACAAGAGTTAAAGCTATAAAAACTACAAAACTACTAGGAAAAAACAGGATAAAATCTGTTACCTTGGGTTAGACAAAGATATTTTAGATATGATATCAAAAGTATAATTCATAAATGGAAAAATGTTGAATTGGACCTTATTAAAATTAAAAACTTTTGTAAAAAGACTCCATTAAGAAACACACTGGTGCCCCAGACTTCTACATGGGTTAACACACACACACATACACACACGTGTGCACGGAGAAAATATTTGCAAAATACGTGTCTGAAAAAGGGCTTGTATACAAAACATATAAAGAACTTTCACAACTCAGTAAGACAGACAATCCAACTGATAAAACAGGCAAAAAAACTGAAATAGAAATTTTAACAAAGAAGATACACAAATGTCTAACAAGCTCATTATTTATTAGGGAAATGCAAATCAAAATCATGAGATATACAATCAGTAAAATGGCCAAAGTTAAAAAAGTGACAATATCAAGTGTTGATGAGGATGTGCAAAACTTGCAACACTCACACATTGCTAGTGGGAATGTAAAATGGCACAGTCACTTCGGAAAACAGTTTGCTAGTTTCTTACTATGTTAAAAAGAAACATACCTTATGACTCAGCAATTTCAGTCCTGGATATCTACCCAAGATAAATTTAAAATATATGCCTCCACAAAATACTTGTAAACAAATGTTCACAGCAGCATTATTCATATAAGCCTCAAATATAAACAATCCAAATATTTATAAACTGGTAAACAGACAAAATGTGGTACATCACACAATGCAGTTTTACTCAGAAGTAAAAAGGAATGAATGGGTATCCTCAACATGGGTGAAACTCAAGAACATTACACTTAGTGAAAGAAGACATAAAAGATATATCGTATGATTCCATTTATATGAAATTTCTAGAAAAGTCAAAACTTTAGAGTTGGAAAGCAGATCACTGGTTGTCTGAGGCAAGAGGTGGGAATGGAGATTGATTACACATGGGCGGAAGGAATGGAATTGTTGTAAAACTAGACTGTGCTGATGGTTGCACTACAGACATCAGACTGCACACTTAAAATGCTTAAATTTTATAGTATTGTACATTATACCTCAATAGAATCAAAAAATCCCCCCATGGTTTTTCCCAAATACAAAGGAAATTCTCTTTCAAATCCTCTACCTTTCATGTATACAGTATACAAGGATCTACCAAGAAAATTATAGCAATGGGACCCTGCCTCCTAAATCTCTTCTTAGACTTACAAATGCATTTTTTCACAGTCCCAGGGCAAAGGGATATGATCATACACTTAGTTTGTAAATGCACAGAATTCTGTCCTTTTAGAAAAAGCTGGACTGATTGCAGTTATAAGAATCTTTTTCTTTGAATTTTTTATTAAAGAAAAATTTATGTGAAAAGTAGACAAATTATACACTTTAAATATGTGCAATTTATTGTATGGCAACTATTGCTCAATAATCTGCTAAATAAGTAGATGACTATTGTGAATCCCTCTATTCTCTGATGAATTTTCAACTCATAAAAAATTTTGCATCACCTAAACCTCCACCAATTTCTTCACTCCTGTATTAATTTGAAGCAAATCACAGATAAGTCCTTTCTTCTATAAATTCAGCTTATATCAATGATATATAACCATACAATTATCACATCCATAAATATGAAAACATAATTTCATATTACTTTTAGTAACTTAAACATTAAAATTTGAAAATCAAGTTTTCAATCGTCTAATGTTATAACATTTATTTTTAGAATTTGTTTCAATCAGCACCTTAATAAGGTCCACATACTTGTTTGATTAGTATGCCTCTTAAATCTCTTAATCTGATTCTCCTACGTCTTGCTTTTTTCTAGCATTTCAATCTACTACGTTATGTGGACTGGATCATCAGGGTGTCCTTTCATTTGTTCTAGAAAATTGTAAATTTTAACAACTCAGGCTTGGAACAATCTAGGCCAAGCTCAGCTTAGATCTGCCAAACTCCAACCAAGTTACACTCCTGAGTGAAAATAAATTGCTGGAAGCTGTTTTAATTTTAAGGTAGCTTAATCACAGAATTACTGAGGAATATGTCAATACATTAACTTTAAAAATCATACATAACATGAAAGGGAATTATAGAAGGTTATTTCTAGTTGCTTTGTATTCTATTTGCATTTTAGGTAAGATCTGGCACAGTCAGATTCTAGAGTGCATTTGGTTCATACGACTAAGAATGCAGGTAGTCCCAGCTAAACCCCACGACACCTGCACTGATACTGGTTTATACATGTAGTGATATGTACATTAATGGTTAAACACGTTTGACCCTTGTGAGGACATGGCTTGAATAAGTTATACCCTTGCTTGTTTGAAATTCTCTCACAAAAGCACCAGTTTGAAATGAAACTAAACAGTACCTTCTGCTGCTTTAAAAGTAAGGACCTTAGGAAAATATAGAAGAGAAACTAAACAGTACCTTCACAGAGCTGAGTGCAATGAAGTGCTGGTGGACACTGCTCCCAATCAAGTCCTGACCCTGACACTTCCGGAAGGGATGAGTTCTGCTGGGCAGAAGCCCAAGAACCTTTCATGTTAGAGCAGCACTTACATCTCCTTTTTCTAGTTTCTAGGAATTTAGTCTGTTTCCTTTTTTCAATTGATTACCCACTACTACAGATGCAGTTTTCTCCTCTTAGTTTACTGTGTTTGGACTCAAAGTTCAGAGTTTCTTTCTTATTCCTCAAAAAAACTCATTCCATTCAAGAGATCCTCCCCCCC